GTGCACCGGGCCCCTAGTCTATTTTATAATCAGACAAAAGGTAGTAGGCCCTGGCCGGGTAGCTCAGTTAGAGCATCATACTGATGCCCCAAGGTTGTGGGTTTGATCTCCAGTCAGGGCACATACAAGAAGCTACCAATTAATTCATAAATAAGTGAAACAACAAATTTATGTTTCTCTCAAATCAATAAAAATGTTTTTAAAGGTAAAAATAAGGCCCTAGCCGGTTTGGCTCAGTGGAAAGAGCGTCAGCCTGTGGACTCAAGGATCCCGGGTTTGATTCCGGTCAGAGGCACATGCCCCAATTGCGGGCTCAATCCCCAGTAGGGGGCAGCCAATCAATGATTCTCTCTCATTGATGTTTCTCTCTCCCTCTCCCTTCCTCTCTTAAATCAAAAAAGATACATTTTTAAAAAAAAGAGAATTAAAGACAAATGTACGGTTGAACTCTGAAGCGAGGAGGAGGCTGGCAGCCCACATCTGGTTCCCTAGGGAGTGGATTGTTGCCATCACAACTGGGCGCTGGAGTTGGAGGCTGCTTCTGGGAGCATGGTGTCTTGTATTCACAGTGCAGTGCATGGAGCTCTCAGGTACAGGAGGTCGGCCAGAATCACCTCTCTCACATGAGACCCACTGTCTGTGACTGCAGCTGCTGTGTCCTGTCCCCCTTCCTCCACACCCCGCTTCCTCTGCACCCAGCTCTCACCTCTTCCTCCCATATGCGTCTTGCCTCCAACTTCCCCAGCTTTCCTGTCCGATCGTTTTTTTCCTTTCCCATCCCCCACACCCTTCTTCCCTGCCCTGGGCCACTCGGAGCCTGCCTCCTTAAGGTAGTCAGTGTATATGTTCACACTCATCCCATTGATCGGCCGTGGCTTTCTGTGTTGTTCATAGAACCAGCCAATGAGTTATGGTGTGGAGCTTTTTTTTCCCCTAGAAAAATTCCAGCCCAAGTTATGTCTTCAGTCCATGGACTTGTATTGATTTTTCTCCCCATGGAACAGTGATCTACAGGAAAGCCCCACCACCCTGTAAGTACGGGCGGGAAGGACTCCCAGAGCCTCCGCTGCGTGCACAGAGCTGCTCCCTGGCCCTGGAATCAGGTCTCTATAAAGTGATTCCCCAGCCTCGGGCGGAGGGGGCGGGAGGGAGGGGGGAGCGGGGCTGGCGCCTTTCCTGAGCAGCTCCCCGAACTGCTGAGAACAGCAAGGTGCAAACATTTTCAGACTCCCTGGTACCTGGGCTTCTGGGCGACAATTGGGTTGCTTCAATCTGATGCCCAGTTTTGGAAGGCTGAGGTAAAGCAGTGTGAGAAATGCTCACCTGTCCGAATTCAAATAATGGGCTCAGAGAAAGAAGTATGGCAAGAAACGAGACTTAATACATCCTCGCAGGAGTGGGTGCCTGTCCGGTTGTACAGGCACATACAGAGTAGTGATCACAGGCTGTTTATCCCCTAGGGTACGAGAGTCCCTCCTCCGGCTCCTCATTGGCTGAGTACTATGGGGTTAATAGTTTCCTCTTATGTTGCCTGGCTCTCATTGTTTCTTATTGGGTTATTTTTTAAAAAATGGGCTGAGGCCTTTTCTAGTTGTCTCCACCTCCCCCCTGTCTAGCTGAGGCGGCACCAGGTGTTTCATCCTGGGCATGTCAGGGGTTTCCACCATGATGTTAGCTCACGTACACAGTTCTTTGTTCTTACATCCTCTTCCCTCCTCCCTACATTCTGTTTGCCCAGGGGAGATTCAGGAACCGGTTCCATTAAAAGCTGACTGTGATGAAGATGGATCACAGAGGCCTGTTTCCTACTGTAGGCTTTGGTGTTTGCAGGTTATGGATGAAAAAGGAGCTCTGTAATAAATCTGAGTCCAGTGTCGAAGTAGCCTCACAGGGTGGCCTGATCACAAATCCTTAGCTGGGCAGGTCTCGGTGGGTAGACAAGCCCCAGGCACAGAATATTTTTAATACCTGCCCCGCCCATTGTGTCTGTGCCTCTAGGTTAACAGAGCTTTGCAAGGCCAGAGTGAACCTGCTTTTCAGGCCCCTCAAGACATAACCACCCTCCAGAGAGCACATAATCTTTCTAGTTAGCTACCCTGTAGTCCACCCCCGCCTTGCTTTCTGCCGTCTGTCTTAATTCTAAATGAAAAGAAACTGTTTGGAGACCTTGCTCCTGGCCTCTCAACGATTTGGCTCCAGCTCATGAAAATTTTCTACAGGTCTGAGCATTTCTTACGTCAACAAGGTGTATGTGATGTGTAAATTACAGCCTGAACTTAAAGTACCCAGTGGCAGTGCCACTTCCTTAGCTCTACCCCGTCCCTATGGCTCTGTTTTCTGGGTCCCTGGTGGCAGTTTGCAGCAGCAGTCACACTGTGTTGGGTCCCTTGCACGCAACGCACCCCCCACCCCCACCCCGCCTGCGTCCCCATTCCTGGATCTCTGGCGCATTGTTTTCAGCCCATCCAGTGGTGTGGTAAGCTCCTAATTCCCTGTATTAGTCCTTGTCAGTTTAACATATCACCACTGCAAAGAGCCTGCTAAGGTCTGAATGTTTTCCCACCCAAAATTCACATGCGGAACCCTAAAGTCAATGTAAGAAACGTTCAGACCTGTAGAGAATTTTTATGAGTTTGAGCCAAACTGACAATTGCCAGGTATTAAAACCTCAAAGAATTGAGAAAAAGCCCCAGAAAAATGGCAGTTTTGCATCTTATTTTATACATTACAATCAGAATAGGAGGCGTACCCAGGTTACATGAAATCTATTAGTGATAGATTTGGGAGATGGGAGAAAGCAAATGGGAAACCTCTGGGATTGGGTAAAAAGTGAAATGAGAAAAAAAACAGTGAAATGATAGATACCACTTTGACATCTGTGGGTGCAGGATAGTTAACAATTAACATGATAACAATGCAGTGAGGGGATCTGTGCCTTGTTGAGGGGTCTGAAAAAAGGAAATTACTTGATATTCCTAAGGCAGGTTAGCAAAGATAATTGGCTCAATTAAGGTGAAGATAGACTTTTGCTAGGGAAAAATACTGTCGTAGTACATGACTACTTGCTGAACTGCTTTTAGTTAGAAATTTTTTTTTTAATACATGCTTTTATTGATTTCAGAGAGGAAGGGAGAGGGAGAGATAGAAACATCCATGATGAGAGAGAATCATTGATTGGCTGCCTCCTGTATGCTCCACTATCAGGGATGGAGCCAACAACCGAAGCATGTGCCCTTGACAGGAATTGAACCCCGGACCCTTGAGTCCACAGGCTGATGATGCTCTGTCCACTGAGTCAAACCGGCTAGGGCAGGAAGTTTTAAATATTGGTTGAGTAGCCTTAGCATATCATTAGCATATTACACTTTGATTGGTTGAACGGATGACTGGACACCCGGACACTTAGCATATTAGACCTTTATTATATAGGATTGATTTCAGAGAGGGAGAGAGATAGAGACATCAATGATGAGAGAGAATCATTGATCAGCTGCCTCCTACACGCCCCCCACTGGGGATCAAGCCCACAGCCCAGGGAATCAATCATAGGTCGATGCTCAGCCACTGAGCCACGGTGGCCGGGCTAGAAAGTTTTAATTTCAGAGCATCCTATTGTGGTTGCTTTAGGTCTCTGAGTTTGTGAGGCTGCCTTACAGGTCTCCTCTGAGCTTGTCGGGTTTAGTGTGTCACCCCTTTTGGTCCACACTGATCCCCAAAGATGTTCCGGGGCAGTGGTACTAGGTGTCAGGAGTGGAGCCTTTGAGGTGATTAGTCCTGAGGGCGGAGCCTGGTGAATGGGATTGGCGCCTTTATTAGACCCCACTGAGCCTCTCTGCCCTTTCTGTCATGTGAAGTCACAGAGAAGGGTCTTCTGTGACCGGGAGAGAGCTGGCACCAGAACCAGGCCATGCTGGCACCCTGATCAGGCTTCCAGCCTCCAGAACTGTGAGAAATAAATGCCTGTTTTTATAAGCACCCCGTCTCTGGTGCTTCCTTATAGACAGCAGCTGGAGTGGACTAAGAGCCTTCCCTTCCCCTGGACCTCTGCTCCCTCCCTACCTGTCACAGCGTGCAGTAAGGTGGGGTTGGGTGCCTCGTTTCTCTGCCATTCATTCCTCTGCCATTCGGCTGTAAGGTACTGGGTGCAGGCTCTGTGCATCGGCCTGGACTCCTGCCCAGGGCTTGTCCGTGCTCACTGAGTCACCTGAGGGGTCCAGCGCCACCCCCGCCCACGGCAGCGCCTCTGGCTGCACTTGGCGGCCAGCAGCCGCTCTCCCAGGCCTTGTGGGGAGCGGAGAGCTCCATCATCGGCTCTGTCACTTCCTGCTGTAACTTCAGGCTGTAATTTACACATTGCTTATGCCCAGGGTTGGTGGAAGCTGGCTGGTCCCTGTCTGAGACCAAGTTTCTGGGAGGTTTCACAAGGTTCTGATCCCCCAAACAACCGAGCCCATCCCAGAATTCAGGAATTCTGCCAGGCCCTGGGTCCTGCCTATGATGTCCTGAGGGCAGCTTTCTGGGCCTGACTCAGGGACAGAGGTTAAAGGAGGCTGGGGTATATATCAGCTTAAAAGCTGTAAAACAAGTTTCTGCTTTCTCTCAAGTGGAACAATTGTCTCAAGATCAAGGGAGGGAGGAAGCCACCTGGGTTGGTTAAACAAAGTGGATGGAGGCAACTTCCTGCGGCTGGAGGAGGCAGTTACTTGCGGTGGGACTCTTGCCCCTCGTCAGGCTTCCTAATGACACAGAGTTCCGGGGACAGAGCATGAGGAAAAGCAGGTGACCTGAGAGCGAGAGCGGAGAAGGAAGCCAGGCAGCTCCTGCTTGTGTTCCCTCCTGGGCTCGTGGCCTGGGGCTGGCAGAGGCCCGACCCTGCCTTTCCTTCTGGGTGTGGCAGGAAACAGCGCCTGCCCCTCCAGCTCTCAAATTCTTTGCTTCTGTTGCCAGGGGAGGTGGCCAGGGCCCAGCCGGCGGCACTGACCTCAGGAGAGACGTCTCCCAGAGGCGTGGGCAAGGGCAGGAGATGGAACCTTCCTTCTTGTCCGGAAAGGCTTCGGGGGGCCGTGGGACCCATTCCCTCTATTTCAAGCAGCTCGTAAGTGGCAGAGAACTCAACCCCGATGCCGAGTATGGGCGTTTTACGCTAATAGTTTTCAGTGTTGTAACAACACTGGCAAGGAATAAGTTGTTTATTTTTCTTTTGGATGATTTTTCAGGAGCAAAATTGCAAGGTCAAAACATAGGAGCATGATCATAGACCTTGATAAATAATGATCAAATTTGGCCCCCAATTGGGTGCATCAACTTACAAGCAACCATGGGCCTGTTCACCTGAAAATGACCCCCCTTCCCCAGCAACACTGCCGCCCACAGAAGCTGTGCCCAGTCCTGACCATGACTCTCCCTACTCCCTGCAGGTGAGCCCGTGCAGAGTTCCGTCATACAGCCCGGCTTTAACTGGGATTGCACTGAACTTGGGTATCACATGAGACAGGGGACCTCCTTATAATAAGTCTTCCAATCCATGGACATGGTATATGTCAACACTTACTGAGGCCTCTTTATCTCACAATAGTTTTATCTCCAAAGAGCTCTTGTACTTGTTTTTTTATTTTTTATTTTATTTTTTTTAGTATATTTTATTGATTTTTTACAGAGAGGAAGGGAGAGGGATAGAGAGTTAGAAACATCATTGAGAGAAACATCAGCTGCCTCCTGCACACTCCCCACTAGGGATGTGCCCGCATCCAAGGTACAGGCCCTTGACTGGAATTGAACCTGGGACCCTTCAGTCCTCAGTCCGATGAGCCAAACCGGGTTAGGGCGTTTTTTAAAAAATTATTCCTTATTAGGATATGCTTATTGATTTGAGACAGAGAGGAAAAGGGAGGGAGGAGAGAGAGGGAGGGGAAGAAAGAGGAGGAGGGGGAGGGAGGAGGAAGAGGAAAGAGAAACATCAATTGGCTGCCTTCCCCTTTATGTGCCCCCACTGGGGATCAAACAGGGCTTGAGCATGTTTTATTAAAAGGCCTATGTTTGATGTGTGTTGGGGGGGGAGGGGTGTTCGCACATTGATTTTTATATCCAGCAACCTTGCAAACCCCAATCTAGTAACTTATTTGTTCATTCTTTGATGTTTCTATCATCTCTAAGTGAAGAATTTTGTTCCTTCCTTTGGAATCTTTCCTGGTGCCCTTTCTTCCTGGCCAGGTCCTCCGGTGCAGTTGGAACCATCCTGGAAGCGGTTTGTCCTTTGTCTGTTCCTACTCTCACAAGGAAGCGGTCAGGCTGCACCGCCAGAAGTGAGGTCTGTCAGTGGGTCCTGCCGCTGCCCTTTAGCAGAGCGAGGAAGGCCCTCCCTTCCCATTTTGCTAAGTTTTTCTGGAGAAGAGTTTTATCTATTTTCCCCCGCAGAGAGGACGCCTGACCGCTCCTCTTTCCTGGTAAGTGATAGATGACCTGGATGCTGCTCTCCAGTACAGAACCTACTCCTGAATGGGATTGTGCTGGGGTCCAACCCTAGCAGGTCCAGGGGTCCCCAAAGGTGTGGACGGAGTTGGCGAAGAAGGAATGACATGGAGACAGCATTTAGTTGATCAGCAGCCTAGCCAGGATCTCTAGCCAAGTTCTGGTCAGGATCTCCAGCGAAGTTCTGGTTAGGATCTCCAGCCAGGTTCTGTAGCCAGGGTCTGTCTCTAGGTTCTGTGTCCTGTTGTTACATCTGTATTTATACCAGTTGATTCCAATCCTATCAATCTCTATTCCAAAGGTTAGGGCGTTTCTTATCTCCATTCCAGGGAGTAAAGATTATGTAGCTTAAGCGTGCTTGTTTGTAGTTAAAGTGATTAACTACCCGCCTGGCACTTAGTTAAGGAGTTTCATACCCTCCCTGACTTCAGGGAAAAATCCCTACCTGGGGAAACAACCTTTCTCGGAGAGGTGACCTTGGGTAAAACACACAGCGCTAAGGGGAGCAAACATATTAAGAACAGTATGCTATATATGCCAGGTCCCTTGAAACATATGCTGTGCAGATGTTTCTTTCCTGCAGCGACTGTGTCAAGCAGCAAGGATGGGCCGGCTCCCAGCAGGATTGCCCTCTACTGTTTCACATTTCCCTTGCCAGGGTTTGGGGTTAAGGTTATGATTGCCTCACAGAACGGGTAGGGCAATTCCCTCTTTGTCTACGTGGAGTTTGTGTAAGTGGGACTGTCTGTTCCTTAAATGCACGTGAGAACTACAGGGGGAGACCCCTGGGCCTGGGGTTCGCTCGGTGGGAAGATCGACTCCTGATCAACTTTCACTTTCAGAAATCTCATCCCTTCCTCCCAGAGCCACACCTCACAGCTGGACCACCGGGCCCCCTGGCGTCCCTGTGAGGGGCCTCCCCAGCCAGTCTTCCCAAAGCTCCCCCTGCCTCCCAGCTCTCTCCTGCCCCAGAGCGTCCACGGTCCCGCCGCTCCGAGGTCAAATCCAAATCCACAGCGAGACCCTCAAGTGAGGCTGGACCACCTGTCCACCCTTCCCTTCTGCTGTGCCCTGCTGAGCTCCTGCCACACCTGGCTTCTGCCCATGAAGATGGACACAAAAGTCTGTCCCATGCTGACCTCTCCTGCCACTAAAACTGCCTCTAACAGGAAGCCTGCCCCTCCCCATTAGCTACAGTTGCCTCCCTCCTATAGCTCTGCATTTTTGCATATTATCAAAACTGATTTGGGTAGAATTCTGCACTCAAGTGAATGTTCTGAAAGGGCAAGCATATATTTGTGATCATTCACTTACTCAGTCAACAAACATGTCCAGTCCAGTGCACAAGCACTGTGCGGGGTGCTGGGTACTGGGGTGCATCAGTAACTAAAATGGGTTCCAACCACTTCAGAACCTTCCAGCCAGTTGGAAATAAAGCAGCAGATGAGGGGAGAAAATCACCCAGAACCCCACCAATGTATTGGAGCATTTCTTTCCAGTTTTAAAAACATATAATAACCTACCTAAACTACCTGGATGGGTACATATTACTCTACAGCCTTAAGGTGAGGAAACTGAGACACAGAGAGCTTAAGTCCAAGGTCAAAGGAATGGCAGGTCTGGATTTTAACTCAGGCAGCCCAGCTCTGAGCCCGCTACCCTAACCCACCCACTACCTTTTAAAAAATATGAGTCAAGCTGCGTGTCCTTTGGAAACCCCAAGTTTTCACTTCTGCCTGACCTGTGTGGCCCCGTGGTTGAGTGTTGACCCATGAGCCAAGAGGTCCCTGCTTTGATTGGTTTGATTTCCTGTCAGGCATATGCTCAGGTTTCGGGCTCGATCCCCAGGAGAGGGTGTGCAGGAGGCGGATCCATGTCTCTCTCATCGATGTTTCTATCCCTCTCCCTTTTCTCTCTCTCTCTCTGAAAATCAATAAAAGCATTTAAAAGATATTTTTTCACTTATCTTACTGCATTCATCTAACCATGGGAACGCTCCCTTCAAGGGACCTGTCCATCAGTCGCCTTCAGGTCCAGGCTGCCTGGCATGGAGGGTGTCCCCAGGCCCACAGACCTGCCCTAAGCGGTCCAGCTGAGGTGAGGAATCCTGGGCCATTCAGCCTCGTGGAGCTTCCCTTGACTTCCCAGGAAAAGGGGACCCCAGCACATCACTTTAGGGCTACAGGGAACTGAATGGCAGTGAGCCCTGCCACTAAACCCGCCTCTAACAGGAAGCCTGCCCCTGTTAGAGCGCCTGGCTTGGGGCTGGGTACTCTGATGGTGCCCAGGGATGTTAATTCCTTAAGCCATCATCCCTCTCCTTGGTTCTGTTAACATGAAAACATTCAAACGGGAAAAGAATTTTTGTGAGTTTATTTGAGCCAAACTGTCGACAAATGGCAGGAAGCAGAACCTCAATGCATTGAGATAATGCTCCCGAGAATGGCAGGTTACATCTGTATACACTGCAATCAAAGGACAGGGATGTAGGTGGGTTACATGAAATCTATTGGTGATAGACTAGAGAGGCGGGAGAAAGCAAAGCGGGGAAACCCCTGGGATTGGATAAAAGTAAAATGATAGACACATACTTAGGTGGGTGCAGGAATAATGAATAATGATAACAATGAAGGAATTGCGGTATCTGTCCTGGTGCCCA